GAGGGGATATTAATGTGGCACAACATTTAAACCCTGCCCATATGCTCTCTGGTCATTGTGAGTTGCTGATAAATAAGAATGATGAATGAGTACAAAAAAAGAAGAACAGGGCAGTTACAGCTGGTTTATTTGCGTCATTACCAAAGTATGAGTCAAAATGGGTTCTGACTCCTGGAATGAATGAAAGGGAGGTTCAATCTGAAGCTGTGTTTCTATGTCGATGTTTAACCTATTGACCTCTATCAGACTTGTTCAATAAGTATTATGTGGTCCAGTTAGTTTGCAGATTTGTTTTTGTATTTTTAATGTTGAGGAGAAGAATCCATTAACTGTATGCGTCGAAACCAGTCCAGCACAGAAAAACACAAGCAGGGTCATATTTTACATTTATTTTATTGGCAAAGAATAATAAAGCCTTCATTTGTTGCACAGCAGGATATAGTAGCAGCAAAGGGAGAGTGCAGATAAAAAGACACAAGTGTAATGAGTGGATTAACATATTAAAGAAGCAAGCACACGTTAAAATAAAAAAGTGCACTTCAAGTAGCAGCATTATAAAATCACTAAGTTAATAAATAATAATGTAAATATAATTGAAAACCATATTCCATCAGTACCTGAATGTGGACATTTTAATAACATTTAAAGGTGGTGGATGTAATACACATTTGAACACATTTTATTTTTGGGAATATGTCATAAAGAGTGACTTGACAAAGAAAGAAAACAGGGCAGTGAGGCTGGTTTATTTGCATCATAACCGAATTATGAGTCAGTAAAATGGCTTCTGACGCACACGCCTGAGGGCCCGAAACACGGTTCCTAATGCATCCCGAAATGAATCAAAGTGATATTTCACAAAGCAGAATATTCCAGTGAGGGGCTACAGATGTTCTGTTCTCAAACCCTGAGCCCTGTGAGGTGCTTCCGGAGGAGAGGTCCAGCTCAAACACAAGCTGTGTGTTTCTCTCCACTCTGTACCTCCCGAGTTCTCCTGCAGTAAAGTAGTGGAAGGTAAATCCAGCAGCCTGTCCCTCAGGCACTGATTTATCCGAGGATGTGATGACATTCAGATGGATACGTTTCTCCTCTGAGCCGCAGGTTAACCCGTAGTGTCCCTGGTCGTTGATGTTGCTCCTGTTTAAGACCACGGACTCGTTTGGACTCATCCGGTCTTTGTAACCTGCTGCCGGCTTCCAGACATCCTCCAGACGAGCCACAGCCTGACTGCTTCCACCTGTCAAAGTGTGCTGAAGTGTCGCTCCTCTCTCCCTGCACTGTTCAGTCTCTGGAAACTGAACTGGGTCTCCTGATATTGTATCGACAGCTAGGCCTCCTACGAGAGGAAGGTGGACAATAAGTAAGAAAATGCACAAAGTATGAGCTGCCATCTCCAGTCTTCTTCGTCTGGATCCTGTGCTTATTATAGTGCTCTCTCGTTAATATTCTTTCAGAGCTTTGAGAGAGGGATCCGCCTCCTCTGTTCAGAGCTGTGTGAGAGAGGTGCAGTTACAGCAGGTGTCCACAGAGTGCAGCCTAAGTCAGACTGAAGCTTCTCCAAATGCTGTCTCTTTAAATACTCTTTGATTTCGGTTAAATATGTGGGAGGAGTCTGACTTCCCGATTAATTTTAACCGAGATTTGAGAGAGGGCTCGGGCTCGACTTCAAGACGGCAGCTCGCGGTTGTTGAGCCGTGTATTCCCCACGCCGGATGTCGGGCCCGGTACCTCTCTCTCACAGCTCGGGGGAAAAGGCTGATCCTGGAAGATCAGATTCCTCCCAACTCGCTGCGATCCCTCTCTCGTGCGGCAAGCTCGCGGGTGCAGCATGTTTCCAGCTGTGGGGGAGAGTACTCGCGCACATCTCCTGCAAGAGTTAAATAGTTTATTATAATTTAAGCCCAATATAATAAATAAAACAATAATTTAGAAAGGTGAAATGTCCATACATGTGTTGTACAAAAAGCATATTTAAACTGCCATATGATTACTGTGAAGTCCTGATACTTGAGGAACTCTTCTCCCTCTGCCTCATGTGCTTTTCTCTCGAAAGATCACCATCATATTTCTCTCTCATAAATCCTCCCGTTGAGCCTCACGAAGACTGCTTTCCTTTTTCAAACTGTGCTGAAGTCTCCTCTCTTCTTTCAGACTGTTTCTCCCTCGCTCTCCTGCTCGGCTCTCGGAGGGATAGCTACTCCCCCCTCCTCCTCGTTGGCTGCTTCCGTGTTCACGGGGCCGGCTGTTGGCCACGAGCCCTCTCTCTCAGTGAGCAGTGAGAGGCAGAATCTCGTTTGGGAGGAGTCTGCTCTTTCAGACTCGGCCTCTTTTCCCAGCTGTGAGAAAGAGGGAGCCTCGCTACAGCCGGCACCGTGAAGACACAGCTCAGCATGTTCGCATTGGCTGGTCAGACACACACAGAGAGAGAGAGGGAGGCTGTGAGAGAGAGAGAGCTCGTGCCTGACAGCCGGCTCCGCGAAGTTGGAAGCAGCCAGTGAGGAGGGAGTTAACGCAGCGAGAGCCGAGCAGGAGAGCGTGTGATGTTACGTTAGAGGCAAACACGGAAACAGCCTGAAAGAAGAGAGGAGACTTCAGCACAATTTGAAAAAGGTCTTCGTGAGGCTCAACGGGAGGATTTCTGGTTATGAGACAAAATCACTCGAGTCCGTGAACTTTAACAGCTCAAACACGACACACTGACCGAGTTCCACTTTAACTTTGGTGTGTCAGATTTCACGCCAGAGGGATCTTGATCTGAGAGTGAGACTGGAGAAGCCAACGGCGAAAGCAGCGACGAGCTCGATATGAGAGGGATTGAGTGGGAGATTCGACAGGGAGAGAAGTCACAGCGCGAGCCGCTGCTGTGGGGAGGCTCGTTCGAGTTGGCTCGCGCCTGACTTTACGCACAGGATTGTTTGAGCTGTGAGAGAGACGGAAGCAGCCACAGACAGACTCAGACACGAGCTCCTGAGAGTGTATTAGTTTATTATTATTTAAGCCCAATATAATAAATAAAACAATAATTTATTCCCGACTTATTTTACACGAGATTTTGAGAGAGTGCTCGGGCTCGACTTCAAGACGGCAGCTCGCGGTTGTTGAGCCGTGTATTCCCCACGCCGGATGTCGGGCCCGGTACCTCTCTCTCACAGCTCGGGGGTAAAGGCTGATCCTGAAAGATCAGATTCCTCCCAACTCGCTGCGACCCCTCTCTCGTGCAGCAAGCTCGCGGGTGCAGCATGTTTCCAGCTGTGTGGGAGAGTACTCGCGCACCTCTCCTGCAATAGTTTTATAGTTTATTATGATTTAAGCCAAATATAATAAATAAAACAATAACTTAGAAAGGTGAAATGTCCATATATGTGTTGTACAAAAAGCATATTTAAACTGCCATGTGATTACTGTGAAGTCCTGATACTTGAGGAACTCTTCTCACAGAGTTACTATAGCTATAAAGTAGATTTAAAAAAAGTTTTATAGAATAAAATCTCACTGCTGGACGTTGTAGAAATGCGTGTGTGCACCACGACAAAAGAGCCTCATTCACTTTACATTGGGGTTGTTTGCGTGGTGCAGACACGTAAATGTAACAAAGTTCGTGAGTCCACCATGCAATGCGGTGATAAGGAGTCGTGGTGGAGTCACGCATTCTGGTGAGATCAGCTTGGTTTAAACATGCTTTTTGTACAACATATGTATGGACATTTCACCTTTCTAAATTATTGTTTTATTTATTATATTGGGCTTAAATTATAATAAACTATTTAATTTAATTCCATATGAGATAGGGGGATCACCGCGAGAGGCTCTGCAGACTCTCTCCCTCGTAAAAAAACTCAGGATCTAACCCTGTGTTTTGAGAGGAACATAATCATAGGGCAGTTTAAATATGCTTTTTGCACAATACATGTATGGACATTTCACCTTTCTAAATTATTATTTTATTTATTATATTGGTTTTAAATAATAATAAACTATATAACTCTCAGGAGCTCGTGTCTGAGTCTGTGGCTGCTTCCGCCTCTCTCTTTCGGCAACTCGAAGAATAGCCCGTCTCTCTCACAGCTCAAACAATCCTGTGCGTAAAGTTAGGCGCGAGCCAACTCGAACTATTCTCCCCACAGCAGCGGCTTGCGCTGTGACACCTCTCCCGAAGCTCCCACTCAATCCCTCTCATATGGAGCTCTTCGCTGCTTTCGCCGTTGGCTTCTCCAGTCTCACTCTCAGACCAAGATCCCTCCGCGTACAATCTGAACCTGATCTGAACACACCAAAGATAAAGTGGAACTCGGTCAGTGTGTCGTGTTTGAGCTGTTAAAGTTCACAGACTCGAGTGATTTTGTCTCATAACCAGAAATCCTCCCGTTGATTCTCACGAAGACCTTTTTCAAAATGTGCTGAAGTCTCCTCTCTTCTTTCAGGCTGTTTCCGTGTTTGCCTCTAACGTAACATCACACGCTCTCCTGCTCGGCTCTCGCTGCGTTAACTCCCTCCTCACTGGCTGCTTCCAACTTCTCGGAGCCGGCTGTCGGGCACGAGCTCTCTCTCTCACAGTCTCCCTCTCTCTCTGTGTGTATCTGACCAGCCAATGAGAACATGCTGAGCTGTGTCTTCACGGTGCCGGCTGTAGCGAGGCTCCCTCTTTCTCACAGCTGGGAAAAGAGGCCGAGTCTGAAAGAGCAGACTCCTCCCAAACGAGATTCTGCCTCTCACTGCTCACTGAGAGAGAGGGCTCGTGGCCAACAGCCGGCCCCGTGAACACGGAAGCAGCCAACGAGGAGGAGGGGGGAGTAACTATCCCTCCGAGAGCCGAGCAGGAGAGCGAGAGAGAAACAGTCTGAAAGAAGAAAGGAGACTTCAGCACAGTTTGAAAAAGGAAAGCAGTCTTCGTGAGGCTCAACGGGAGGATTTATGAGAGAGAAATATGATGGTGATCTTTCCGAGAGAAAAGCACATGAGGCAGAGGGAGAAGAGTTCCTCAAGTATCTGGACTTCACAGTAATCATATGGCAGTTTAAACATGCTTTTTGTACAATACATGTATGGATATTTCACCTTTCTAAATTATTGTTTTATTTATTATATTGGGCTTAAATTATAATAAACTATTTAACTCTTGCAGGAGAGGTGCGCGAGTACTCTCCCACACAGCTGGAAACATGCTGCACCTGCGAGCTTTCCGCACGAGAGAGGGATCGCAGCGGGTTGGGAGGAATCTGATCTTTCGGGATCAGCCTTTTCCCCCGAGCTGTGAGAGAGAGGTACCGGGCCCGACATCCGGCGTGGGGAATACACGGCTCAACAACCGCGAGCTTCCATCGAGAAGTCAAGCCCGATCCCTCACTCTCAAATCTCGGGTAAAATAAATCGGGAATAAATTATTGTTTTATTTATTATATTGGGCTTAAATAATAATAATAATAATAATAAACTAATACACTCTCAGGAGCTCGTGTCTGAGTCTGTCTGTGGCTGCTTCCGCCTCTCTCACAGCTCAAACAATCCTTTGCTTAAAGTCAAGCGCGAGCCAACTCGAACGAGCCTCCCCACAGCAACGGCTCGCGCTGTGACTTCTCTCCCTGTCGAAGCTCCCACTCAATCCCTCTCATATGGAGCTCCTTGCTGCTTTCGCCGTTGGCTTCTCCAGTCTCACTCTCAGATCAAGATCCCTCCGCGTAAAATCTGAACACACCAAAGATAAAGTTGAACTCGGTCAGTGTGTCGTGTTTGAGCTGTTAAGTTCACGGACTCGAGTGATTCTGTCTCATAACCAGAAATCCTCCCGTTGAGTTTGAAAAACTGACGAAACAAACTGCGAGCTCTCAAAAGAGAGGGAGCGATATCACAGCGCGAGCTGCTGCTGTGAGGAGGGCCGTTCGAGTCGGCGCGCGCCTACTTTACTCACAGGATTGTTTGAGCTGAGAGAGAGACGGACGAATCCTCGAGCTCCCATACGAGAGAGGGGGACGAGGCACTCATGTTCTCATTTGCTGATCAGACACACACAGAGAGAGAGAGGCGTACACATTATGTGTTCAGCTGTGAGAGAGAGCTCGTGCCCGACAGCTCGCCCCGTGAACAACGGAGCAGCAAACGAGGAGGAGGGAGTAACTATCCTCGGAGAGCCGAGCAGGAGAGCGAGAGAGAAACAGTCTGAAAGAAGAGAGGAGACTTCAGCACAGTTTGGAAAAGGAAAGCAGTCTTCGTGAGGCTCAACGGGAGGATTTCTGAAGAGAAATATGATGGTGATCTTTCCGAGAGAGAAGCACATGAGGAGAAGACTTCCTCAAGTATCAGGACTTTACAGAAATCATATGGCAGTTTAAATATGCTTTTTGTACAACACATGTATGGACATTTCACCTTTCAAAATTATTGTTTTATTTATTATATTGGGCTTAAATCATAATAAACTATAAAACTATTGCAGGAGAGGTGCGCGAGTACTCTCCCACACAGCTGGAAACATGCTGCACCCGCGAGCTTGCTGCACGAGAGAGGGATCGCAGCGAGTTGGGAGGAATCTGATCTTTCAGGATCAGCCTTTTCCCCCGAGCTGTGAGAGAGAGGTACCGGGCCCGACATCTGGCGTGGGGAATACACGGCTCAACAACCGCGAGCTGCCGTCTTGAAGTCGAGCCCGAGCCCTCTCTCAAATCTCGGTTAAAATTAATCGGGAAGTCAGACTCCTCCCACAGATTTAACTGAAATCAAAGAGTATTTAAAGAGACAGCATTTGGAGAAGCTTCAGTCTGACTTAGGCTGCACTCTGTGGACACCTGCTGTAACTGCACCTCTCTCACACAGCTCTGAACAGAGGAGGCGGATCCCTCTCTCAAAGCTCTGAAAGAATAGTATTAACGAGAGAGCACTTGTAATAAGCACAGGATCCAGACGAAGAAGACTGGAGATGGCAGCTCATACTTTGTGCATTTTCTTACTTATTGTCCACCTTCCTCTCGTAGGAGGCCTAGCTGTCGATACAATATCAGGAGACCCAGTTCAGTTTCCAGAGACTGAACAGTGCAGGGAGAGAGGAGCGACACTTCAGCACACTTTGACAGGTGGAAGCAGTCAGGCTGTGGCTCGTCTGGAGGATGTCTGGAAGCCGGCAGCAGGTTACAAAGACCGGATGAGTCCAAACGAGTCTGTGGTCTTAAACAGGAGCAACATCAACGACCAGGGACTCTACGGGTTAACCTGCGGCTCAGAGGAGAAACGTATCCATCTGAATGTCATCACATCCTCGGAGAAATCAGTGCCTGAGGGACAGGCTGCTGGATTTACCTTCCACTACTTTACTGCAGGAGAACTCGGGAGGTACAGAGTGGAGAGAAACACACAGCTTGTGTTTGAGCTGGACCTCTCCTCCGGAAGCACCTCACAGGGCTCAGGGTTTGAGAACAGAACATCTGTAGCCCCTCACTGGAGGTCCGATGGAGACCTGACTCTGACCCTGCAGGGGGTGAAGCCCGAGGACCGAGGAGATTACTTTCTCTACGTCCTCAAGGACAGAAAGAGGGGACATCTGCAGGCTGTGAGGATGAGGGTCAGCCCTGCAGTGAATACACCAGAGGAGAGGAACCCGGATCAGATCACCTGCACCCCCCAGCCACCATGCGTGAGTACAACACCACAAATATTGATTATAAAATGCAGCTTATGGAAACATCTTAGATATTATCGGACTTTAGGGTTTTGTTGAAGGTGTCATCTTTTAGTTTACGTTCCTCTTGTTCTGTTTCCCCTGGAGCAGAAGGAGACCCTGTGGATCCCCCTCAGCATCACCGCTGCTCTGGTTCTGGTTGCACTTGGTGTTGTGTGTCGGCAGATCTGCAGATCACATGTCTCACCCGGTGGAGGAAGATCTCTGACAGAAGAGGAGAGTCAACCCATCACAGACCCTCGTGTTCCAGAAGAGAATGGACATGCTTCATCAGCTTAATATTCATTTATAATGTATTTTATTGTCACTGCACTTTCCCTTCGATGCAACACTTTTCCCCTCTCTGGGAAAATAAGGGATTCTGAATCTGATCTTTTGCTTTGCCAATAAAATAATCAAATGTATTTGTGTTGTGTTTGTGTGCTGGACTGGAGGTGAATATATTCTCTCCAAAACATTTAAAAATAAATCAAATATTTAAAATTGAAAACCTACATCTTGAGATAAATGCACACAATAGATTAAAAAAAGTATGATAATATAAATGGAGGGTTGGAAACTAAATACAAACACAACTCACCAGACGGTAACATCTCTCTGATAAACTGCGGGAAGCTGTTTTCACGCAGGGTTTAGAGTCTACAGCGAGCACTTGTTGACTGATGGAAGCAGTGTGTGTGGCTCAAAGGGCCTTCCATAAATGTTAGGACTGCGCACACAGTCTTGCAGTGTGAGGGTCGGTGTTAGAGTCGGTGCAGGTGAGTGTGAACAACTGACGAAACAAACTGCGAGCTCTCAAAAGAGAGGGAGAGATATCACAGCGCGAGCTGCTGCTGTGAGGAGGGCCGTTCAAGTCGGCGCGCGCTTACTTTACTCACAGGATTGTTTGAGCTGAGAGAGAGACGGACGAATCCTCGAGCTCCCATACGAGAGAGGGAGATGAGGCACTCATGTTCTCATTTGCTGATCAGACACACACAGAGAGAGAGAGGCGTACACATTATGTGTTCAGCTGTGAGAGAGAGCTCGTGCCCGACAGCTCGCCCCGTGAACACGGAAGCAGCAAACGAGGAGGAGGGAGTAACTATCCCTCCGAGAGCCGAGCAGGAGAGCGAGAGAGAAACAGTCTGAAAGAAGAGAGGAGACTTCAGCACAGTTTGGAAAAGGAAAGCAGTCTTCGTGAGGCTCAACGGGAGGATTTATGAGAGAGAAATATGATGGTGATCTTTCCGAGAGAAAAGCACATGAGGCAGAGGGAGAAGAGTTCCTCAAGTATCAGGACTTTACAGAAATCATATGGCAGTTTAAATATGCTTTTTGTACAACACATGTATGGACATTTCACCTTTCAAAATTATTGTTTTATTTATTATATTGGGCTTAAATCATAATAAACTATACAACTCTTGCAGGAGAGGTGCGCGAGTACTCTCCCACACAGCTGGAAACATGCTGCACCCGCGAGCTTGCTGCACGAGAGAGGGATCGCAGCGAGTTGGGAGGAATCTGATCTTTCAGCACTGTATTACACACGGACCACTATTGCGGTAAGCATGTTGTAACTTCCGGTTGTTGTCATCTCCGGGTATCCCGTGTGCCCGTTCTGTTGCTGATAGCTTATTATCTTAACTTAATCGATCGTTTTAAAACTCTTGATCACGGCAACTGCCTGACGTTGTAATCACACGTTATTATAACTTAAGCTCTCACAACTCTCCTTCTCTTAGCGACTGTAACTCCACAGTTGCCTACACTCTTTTCGGGTTTGCTAACGGTAGCTACTTTAGCTTGATAGCTAGCCATGGCTCTTTCCCCACCCTCGGGTGCTATTTCCTGCTCTAACTGTCTCAACGTTTGGTTACTTCCCTACCTCCTTTACTGGTACCGGTACATGTGTTAAATGTAGTATAGTTGTTAGGTTGGAGGCGGGAATCATAGCCATAGAAGCCCGGCTCCGCATCTTAGAAAGAAACTCAGCTACAGTAAAGCCCATGTTAGCCGGTGCGGACCGGCAAAAGGTAGCTCCTATTAGCCGTCCCCCGGCAACTCCCGAGCAGCAGGGAGACTGGGTGACTGTTCAGAAGGGGCATAACGCGAAACCCGCAGGTCCCCACCAACCCGTTCACGTATCTAACAGATATTCCCCACTCAGCGAGACAACCCGCTGAGAAGCCAACTCTGGTTATTGGTAGCTCTATTATGAGACACGTGAAATTAGAGACCGAAGCCTCCACAGTCACATGCATTCCGGGGGCCAGAGCGGGCGACGTTGAGGCGCATCTTAAACTGCTGGCTAAAAATAAACATAAATACAGTAGGATTGTTATTCACGTCGGTGGTAATGATGTTCGTATACACCAATCAGAATGCACCAAACTTAATGTGGAGTCGGTGTGTAGTTATGCTTAAACAATGTCGGACACCGTAATCTTCTCTGGTCCCCTCCCCAATCTGATCAATGATGACATGTATAGCCGCATGTCATCATTTCAGCGCTGGTTGTCTTGGTGGTGCCCAGCAAACAATGTGGGCTTCGTAAATAATTGGACAGCCTTCTGGGGAAAACCTGGTCTGATTAAGAGAGACGGCATTCATCCTACTTTGGAAGGTGCCGATCTCATTTCGGCAAACATTTCAGGGCTTTGTGGACTTAATCCATGACAAACTGGAGTTGAGACCAGGAGGCGGAGTCGCAGTCTTACACGCTTCTCTGCGCTCTCTCCTAGGCAGTCATCCATAGGAATCCCGAACCCAATAAAATACCCAATATTAGCGGTGTGTGTGTCTGCCCAAGGACAAGTTAAGGTAAAACCTAATAGAGGTGTCATACATAATAACCTAATCAAAGTAAATGTAACAACTACTACAGTGCAACAAACAGGAATATTAAATGTGGTCTCTTAAACATAAGATCTCTAGCATCTAAAGCAATATTGGTAAATGATTTAATATCAGATTATAATATTGATATATGCTGTCTCACTGAAACTTGGTTGAGACATGAAGAATATGTCAGCATAAATGAGGCCACTCCACCCAGCCATATCAATACTCATATTGCCCGAGGCACGGGCCGAGGAGGTGGAGTTGCAGCAATCTTTGACTCCAGTTTACTTATCAATACTAAACCAAAATTAAATTATACCTCCTTTGAAAGTCTCGTTTTTAGTCTTACGCATCCGACCTGGAAAACTTTGCAGCCAATCTTATTTGTTACAGTGTACCGTGCACCAGGGTCCTTATTCAGAATTCTTATCTGAATTCTCTGAGTTTTTATCAACTTTGGTTCTTAAAACAGATAAAGTAATTATCGTAGGTGACTTTAATATTCATGTTGACGATGATAAAAATAGCCTTACTGTTGCATTTAACTCTATATTAGATTCTGTTGGTTTCTGTCAGAGTGTAAATAAACCAACCCACTGCTATAATCACACTCTCGACCTTGTTCTGACTTATGGTATTGAAATTGAGCAACTATTAGTCGAACCGCATAATCCTGCTTTATCCGACCATTTCTTAGTAACTTTTGAAGTACTGTTACGAGACTACAAAGCATTAGTCAAAAGCTCCTGCAGCAGAAACCTATCTGTTAGTGCTATAGCCAAATTTAAGGAAGAGATTCCACCAATACTTAACTCGATAGCATGTCTGCATGTAAGGGAGGAAACTTATACAAAATGTACACCACCCCAAATTGATCATGTTGTTGATAGTGCTACAGATGCGCTGCGAATAAAATTAGACTCTGTTGCTCCTTTGAAAAAGAAGAAAATAAAACAACATAGACTAGCTCCATGGCATAATGCCGAAACCCGCAAAATAAAGCAAAAGTCGAGACAACTTGAAAGGATATGGCGTTCTACTAAACTTGAAGAATCTTGTTTAATTTGGCATATTACTCTCAATGAATATAAGAAAGCATTGCGTAAAGCGAGAGCAGCTTACTACTCTTCATTAATAGATGAGAATAAGAATAATGCAAGATTTATTTTCAGCACTGTAGCCAGGCTGACAGAAAGCCACAGCTCGATTGAGCCTTCTATTCCCATAGCACTCAGTAGTAATGATTTTATGTGCTTTTTTAACGATAAAATTGTTACTCTTAGAAACAAAATTAATGACCTCTTGCCTTTGACCAGTATAGTGTTATCAACGGCTCCCGGAAACGTAAGTTCTAATATTACACTAGATAGTAAACTAGAATGCTTTTCAGCCATAAACCTTGAACAATTAAATTCAATGATTCTCTCTTCTAAACCATCAACGTGCATGTTAGACCCAATTCCAACTAAGCTGTTGAAGGAAGTTTTTCCATTAATTAGCACTTATTTATTAAATATTATGAATATGTCTTTATTATCAGGCTATGTTCCACAATCATTCAAAGTAGCAGTGATAAACCGCTTCTTAAAAAGCACAACCTCGATCCAGAGGTTTTAGCCAACTATAGACCTATTTCTAATCTTCCGTTCCTCTCAAAAATTCTTGAGAAAGCGGTCGCAAAACAGTTGTGTGATTACTTAAAAAACAATGATTTATTTGAAGCTTTTCAGTCTGGCTTTAGAACACATCATAGCACAGAGACAGCTCTGGTTAAAGTCACAAATGACATTCTAATAGCCTCTGACAAGGGACGTGTCTCTATTCTTGTTTTGCTCGATCTCAGTGCTGCATTTGATACTATCAACCATGATATCCTATTGCAAAGACTAGAGCACTTAGTTGGCATACAGGGAACTGCTTTAGACTGGTTTAGGTCCTATCTATCTGAACGCTCTCAGTTTGTACGTGTCAATGATGAATCTTCCACGCAAACCAAAGTTAGCCATGGAGTGCCACAGGGCTCAGTGCTCGGACCTATTTTGTTCACATTATATATGCTTCCGTTAGGCAATATTATAAGGAATCATTCTGTAAACTTTCATTGTTATGCGGATGATACTCAACTATATTTATCAATCAAGCCTGATGAAATTAATCATCTAAATAAAATTCAAGACTGCCTTAAGGACTTAAAAACGTGGATGACCTTAAACTTTTTGATGTTAAACACGACCAAAACTGAAGTTATTGTACTTGGCCCGAAGAATCTACGAAACAAATTATCTAAGGATATACTAACTATGGATGGCATTAATTTGGCCTCCAGTGAGACTGTAAGGAATCTTGGTGTTATATTTGATCAGGATTTATCCTTTAACGCCCACATAAAATCAATTTCAAGGACCGCCTACTTCCATCTACGTAACATTGCAAAAATCAGGCATATCTTGCCTCAAAACGATGCAGAGAAACTAGTCCATGCATTTGTTACTTCAAGGCTGGATTATTGTAACTCTTTATTATCAGGGTGTACCAAGAAGTCAGTCAAGTCGCTTCAGCTGATTCAAAATGCTGCAGCTCGTGTACTAACCAGAGTTAGGAAAAGGGACCACATTACTCCTGTTCTGGCTGCCTTACACTGGCTCCCTATAGAACACAGGATAGAATTTAAAATTCTTCTTCTCGCCTACAAAGCCCTTAATGGGCAGGCGCCATCTTACCTTAAAGAACTCATTATACCCTACTGTCCTACTAGGGCATTGCGTTCCAAGAATGCAGGGTTGTTGGTTGTTCCTAGAGTCTCTAAAAGTACAATGGGAGCCAGAGCCTTTTCTTATCAAGCTCCACATTTGTGGAATCAGCTTCCAGTTTGTGTTCGGGCGGCAGACACCCTATCCGTTTTTAAGAGTGCGCTTAAGACCTTCCTTTTTGATAAAGCTTATAGTTAGGGCTGATTAGATCCAGCCCCTAGTTTTGCTGATATAGGCTTAGTTTGTCGGGGGACATCTTACTTCTTCCTTCTCTCTGTCTATACCTGTGTACTCTCATGTTCCGATTAACCCAGCTTCCCCAAATGTCTTTCTTTTTGGTGTCTATATACGCCGGGATCCGGAGTCATGGATGATCCTGCGCTCCTCTGTCCTGGATCGCGAGCCCTGGATCTTGAGTCGTGGCTGTGGTCCTGTATCATAGGTCCTGGATGGATATCCTCGTGGATTCATCTTCCTATTATACACACATGCATTTCCAAACATTTGGACTACCTATGTTGCAAATGTATTATCTTTTCAATTTACACACGGCATCCATTGCACGTCTGTCCGTCCTGGGAGAGGGATCCCTCCTCTGTTGCTCTCCCTGAGGTTTCTCCCATTTTTCCCTTTAAACTGTGGGTTTTCTCCGGAAGTTTTTCCTTGTACGATGTGAGGGTCTAAGGACAGAGGGTGTCGTATTGTCATACTGATATTTTGTACAAACTGTAAAGTCCACTGAGACAAATGTAACATTTGTGATATTGGGCTATATAAATAAACATTGATTGATTGATTGATTGAAATCATATGGCAGTTTAAATATGCTTTTTGTACAACACATGTATGGACATTTCACCTTTCAAAATTATTGTTTTATTTATTATATTGGGCTTAAATCATAATAAACTATACAACTCTTGCAGGAGAGGTGCGCGAGTACTCTCCCACACAGCTGGAAACATGCTGCACCCGCGAGCTTGCTGCACGAGAGAGGGATCGCAGCGAGTTGGGAGGAATCTGATCTTTCAGGATCAGCCTTTTCCCCCGAGCTCTGAGAGAGAGGTACCGGGCCCGACATCCGGCGTGGGGAATACACGGCTCAACAACCGCGAGCTGCCGTCTTGAAGTCGAGCCCGAGCCCTCTCTCAAATCTCGGTTAAAATTAATCGGGAAGTCAGACTCCTCCCACAGATTTAACCGAAATCAAAGAGTATTTAAAGAGACAGCATTTGGAGAAGCTTCAGTCTGATTTAGGCTGCACTCTGTGGACACCTGCTGTAACTGCACCTCTCTCACACAGCTCTGAACAGAGGAGGCGGATCCCTCTCTCAAAGCTCTGAAAGAATAGTATTAACGAGAGAGCACTTGTAATAAGCACAGGACCCAGACGAAGAAGACTGGAGATGGCAGCTCATACTTTGTGCATTTTCTTACTTATTGTCCACCTTCCTCTCGTAGGAGGCCTAGCTGTCGATACAATATCAGGAGACCCAGTTCAGTTTCCAGAGACTGAACAGTGCAGGGAGAGAGGAGCGACACTTCAGCACACTTTGACAGGTGGAAGCAGTCCGGATGTGGCTCGTCTGGAGGATGTCTGGAAGCCGGCAGCAGGTTACAAAGACCGGATGAGTCCAAACGAGTCTGTGGTCTTAAACAGGAGCAACATCAACGACCAGGGACTGTACGGGTTAACCTGCGGCTCAGAGGAGAAACGTATCCATCTGAATGTCATCACATCCTCGGAGAAATCAGTGCCTGAGGGACAGGCTGCTGGATTTACCTTCCACTACTTTACTGCAGGAGAACTCGGGAGGTACAGAGTGGAGAGAAACACACAGCTTGTGTTTGAGCTGGACCTCTCCCCCGGAAGCACCTCACAGGGCTCAGGGTTTGAGAACAGAACATCTGTAGCCCCTCACTGGAGGTCCGATGGAGACCTGACTCTGACCCTGCAGGGGGTGAAGCCCGAGGACCGAGGAGATTACTTTCTCTACGTCCTCCAGGACAGAAAGAGGGGACATCTGCAGGCTGTGAGGATGAGGGTCAGCCCTGCACTGAATACACCAGAGGAGAGGAACCCGGATCAGATCACCTGCACCCCCCAGACACCATGCGTGAGTACAACACCACAAATATTGATTATAAAATGCATCTTATGGAAACATCTTAGATATTATCGGACTTTAGGATTTTGTTGAAGGTGTCATCTTTTAGTTTAAGTTCCTCTTGTTCTGTTTCCCCTGGAGCAGAAGGAGACCCTGTGGATCCCCCTCAGCATCACCGCTGCTCTGGTTCTGGTTGCACTTGGTGTTGTGTGTCGGCAGAGGATCTGCAGATCACATGTCTCACCCGGTGGAGGAAGATCTCTGACAGAAGAGGAGAGTCAACCCATCACAGACCCTCGTGTTCCAGAAGAGAATGGACATGCTTCATCAGCTTAATATTCATTTATAATGTATTTTATTGTCACTGCACTTTCCCTTCGATGCAACACTTTTCCCCTCTCTGGGAAAATAAGGGATTCTGAATCTGATCTTTTGCTTTGCCAATAAAATAATCAAATGTATTTGTGTTGTGTTTGTGTGCTGGACTGGAGGTGAATATATTCTCTCCAAAACATTTAAAAATAAATCAAATATTTAAAATTGAAAACCTACATCTTGAGATAAATGCACACAATAGATTAAAAAAAGTATGATAATATAAATGGAGGGTTGGAAACTAAATACAAACACAGCTCACCAGACGGTAACATCTCTCTGATAAACTGCGGGAAGCTGTTTTCACGCAGGGTTTAGAGTCTACAGCGAGCACTTGTAGACTGATGGAAGCAGTGTGTGTGGCTCAAAGGGCCTTCCATAAATGTTAGGACTGCGCACACAGTCTTGCAGTGTGAGGGTCGGTGTTAGAGTCGGTGCAGGTGAGTGTGAACAACTGACGAAACAAACTGCGAGCTCTCAAAAGAGAGGGAGAGATATCACAGCGCGAGCTGCTGCTGTGAGGAGGGCCGTTCGAGTCGGCGCGCGCCTACTTTACTCACAGGATTGTTTGAGCTGAGAGAGAGACGGACGAATCCTCGAGCTCCCATACGAGAGAGGGAGATGAGGCACTCATGTTCTCATTTGCTGATCAGACACACACAGAGAGAGAGGCGTACACATTATTTGTTCAGCTGTGAGAGAGAGAGCTCGTGCCCGACAGCCGGCCCCGTGAACACGGAAGCAGCAAACGAGGAGGAGGGAGTAACTATCCCTCCGAGAGCCGAGCAGGCTCTGTGTTGTGTCAAAACACTGGGTTAGATCCGGGGTTTTTTAGACACCGGCTCTGCAGACTCTCTCCCTCGTAAACAACTCTGGATCTAACCCTGTGTTTTGTCAAAGCCCAGGCTCTAAGCCGGTGCTTTGAGAGGAACATAATCATATGGCAGTTTAAATATGCTTTTTGTACAACACATGTATGGACATTTCACCTTTCTAAATTATTGTTTTATTTATTATATTGGGCTTAAATCATAATAAACTATAAAACTATTGCAGGAGAGGTGCGCGAGTACTCTCCCACACAGCTGGAAACATGCTGCACCTGCGAGCTTTCCGCACGAGAGAGGGATCGCAGCGAGTTGGGAGGAATCTGATCTTTCGGGATCAGCCTTTTCCCCCGAGCTGTGAGAGAGAGGTACCGGGCCCGACATCCGGCGTGGGGAACACACGGCTCAACAACCGCGAGCTTCCATCGAGAAGTCAAGCCCGAGCCCTCTCTCAAATCTCGGGTAAAATAAATCGGGAATAAATTATTGTTTTATTTATTATATTGGGCTTAAATAATAATAATAATAATAATAATAATAATAATAATAATAATAATAATAAACTAATACACTCTCAGGAGCTTGTGTCTGAGTCTGTCTGTGGCTGCTTCCGTCTCTCTCACAGCTCAAAAAATCCTTTGCTTAAAGTCAGGCGCGAGCCAACTCGAACGAGCCTCCCCACAGCAGCGGATCGCGCTGTGACATCTCTCCCTGCAGCTCCCACTCAATCCCTCTCATATGGAGCTCGTCGCTGCTTTCGCCGTTGGCTTCTCCAGTCTCACTCTCAGATCAAGATCCCTCCGCGTACAATCTGAACACACCAAAGATAAAGTTGAACTCGGTCAGTGTGTCGTGTTTGAGCTGTTAAGTTCACGGACTCGAGTGATTCTGTCTCATAACCAGAAATCCTCCCATTGAGTGTGAAAAACTGACGAAACAAACTGCGAGCTCTCAAACGAGAGGGAGAGATATCACAGCGCGAGCCGCTGCTGTGGGGAGGGTGACGTCGTTCGAGTCGGCGCGCGCCTGACTTTACTCACAGGATTGTTTGAGCTGAGAGAGAGACGGACGAATCCTCGAACTCCCATACGAGAGAGGGGGACGAGGCACTCATGTTCTCATTTGCTGATCAGACACACACAGAGAGAGAGAGAGAGGCGTACACATTATGTGTTCAGCTGTGAGAGAGAGCTCGTGCCCGACAGCCGGCCCCGTGAACACGGAAGCAGCAAACGAGGAGGAGGGAGTAACTATCCCTCCGAGAGCTGAGCAGGCTCTGTGTTGTGTCAAAACACTGGGTTAGATCAGGTTTTTTTTAGACACCGGCTCTGCAGACTCTCTCCCTCGTAAAAAACTCTGGATCTAACCCTGTGTTTTGTCAAAGCCCAGGCTCTAAGCCGGTGCTTTGAGAGGAACATAATCATATGGCAGTTTAAATATGCTTTTTGCACAATACATGTATGGACATTTCACCTTTCTAAATTATTATTTTATTCATTATATTGGTTTTAAATAATAATAAACTATAGAACTCTCAGGAGCTCGTGTCTGAGTCTGTGGCTGCTTCCGCCTCTCTCTCTTTCGGAAGCTCGAAGAATAGCCCGTCTCTCTCACAGCTCAAACAATCCTGTGCGTAAAGTTAGGTGCGAGCCAACTCGAACGATTCTCCCCACAGCAGCGGCTCGCGCTGTGACATCTCTCCCGAAGCTCCCACTCAATCCCTCTCATATGGAGCTCTTCGCTGCTTTCGCCGTTGGCTTCTCCAGTCTCACTCTCAGATCAAGATCCCTCCGCGTACAATCTGAACCTGATCTGAACACACCAAAGATAAAGTGGAACTCGGTCAGTGTGTCGTGTTTGAGCTGTTAAAGTTCACAGACTCGAGTGATTTTGTCTCATAACCAGAAATCCTCCCGTTGAGCCTCACGAAGACCTTTTTCAAAATGTGCTGAAGTCTCCTCTCTTCTTTCAGGCTGTTTCCGTGTTTGCCTCTAACGTAACATCACACGCGCTCCTGCTCGGCTCTCGCTGCGTTAACTCCCTCCTCACTGGCTGCTTCCAACTTCTCGGAGCCGGCTGTCGGGCACGAGCTCTCTCTCTCACAGTCTCCCTCTCTCTCTGTGTGTGTCTGACCAGCCAATGAGAACATGCTGAGCTGTGTCTTAACGGTGCCGGCTGTAGCGAGGCTCCCTCTTTCTCACAGCTGGGAAAAGAGGCCGAGTCTGAAAGAGCAGACTCCTCCCAAACGAGATTCTGCCTCTCACTGCTCACTGAGAGAGAGGGCTCGTGGCCAACAGCCGGCCCCGTGAACACGGAAGCAGCCAACGAGGAGGAGGGGGGAGTAACTATCCCTCCGAGAGCCGAGCAGGAGAGCGAGAGAGAAACAGTCTGAAAGAAGAGAGGAGACTTCAGCACAGTTTGGAAAAGGAAAGCATTCTTCGTGAGGCTCAACGGGAGGATTTATGAGAGAGAAATATGATGGTGATCTTTCCGAGAGAAAAGCACATGAGGCAGAGGGAGAAGAGTTCCTCAAGTATCAGGACTTTACAGAAATCATATGGCAGTTTAAATATGCTTTTTGTACAACACATGTATGGACATTTCACCTTTCAAAATTATTGTTTTATTTATTATATTGGGCTTAAATTATAATAAACTATTTAACTCTTGCAGGAGAGGTGCGCGAGTACTCTCCCACACAGCTGGAAACATGCTGCACCTGCGAGCTTTCCGCACGAGAGAGGGATCGCAGCGGGTTGGGAGGAATCTGATCTTTCAGGATCAGCCTATTCCCCCGAGCTGTGAGAGAGAGGTACCGGGCCCGACATCCGGCGTGGGGAATACACGGCTCAACAACCGCGAGCTTCCATCGAGAAGTCAAGCCCGAGCCCTCTCTCTCAAATCTCGGGTAAAATAAATCGGGAATAAATTATTGTTTTATTTATTATATTGGGCTTAAATAATAATAATAAACTAATACACTCTCAGGAGCTCGTGTCTGAGTCTGTCTGTGGCTGCTTCCGCCTCTCTCACAGCTCAAACAATCCTGTGCGTAAAGTTAGGCGCGAGCCAACTCGAACGATTCTCCCCACAGCAGCGGCTCGCGCTGTGACACCTCTCTCGAAGCTCCCACTCAATCCCTCTCATATGGAGCTCTTCGTTGCTTTCTCCGTTGGCTTCTCCAGTCTCACTCTCAGACCAAGATCCCTCCGCGTACAATCTGAACACACCAAAGATAAAGTTGAACTCGGTCAGTGTGTCGTGTTTGAGCTGTTAATTTCACGGACTCGAGTGATTCTGTCTCATAACCAGAAATCCTCCCGTTGAGTTTGAAAAACTGACGAAACAAACTGCGAGCTCTCAAAAGAGAGGGAGAGATATCACAGCGCGAGCTGCTGCTGTGAGGAGGGCCGTTCGAGTCGGCGCGCACCTACTTTACTCACAGGATTGTTTGAGCTGAGAGAGAGACGGACGAATCCTCGAGCTCCCATACGAGAGAGGGGGATGAGGCACTCATGTTCTCATTTGCTGATCAGACACACAGAGAGAGAGAGAGGCGTACACATTATGTGTTCAGCTGTGAGAGAGAGCTCGTCCCCGACAGCTCGCCCCGTGAACACCGAAGCAGCAAACGAGGAGGAGGGAGTAACTATCCCTCCGAGAGCCGAGCAGGAGAGCTAGAGAGAAACAGTCTGAAAGAAGAGAGGAGACTTCAGCACAGTTTGGAAAAGGAAAGCAGTCTTCGTGAGGCTCAACGGGAGGATTTATGAGAGAGAAATATGATGGTGATCTTTCCGAGAGAAAAGCACATGAGGAGAAGAGTTCCTCAAGTATCAGGACTTTACATAAATCATATGGCAGTTTAAATATGCTTTTTGTACAACACATTTCACCTTTCTAAATTATTGTTTTATTTATTATATTGGGCTTAAATTATAATAAACTATTTAACTCTTGCAGGAGAGGTGCGCGAGTACTCTCCCACACAGCTGGAAACATGCTGCACCTGCGAGCTTTCCGCACGAGAGAGAAATCGCAGAGAGTTGGGAGGAATCTGATCTTTCGGGATCAGCCTTTTCCCCCGAGCTGTGAGAGAGAGGTACCGGGCCCGACATCCGGCGTGGGGAACACACGGCTCAACAACCGCGAGCTTTCATCGAGAAGTCAAGCCCGAGCCCTCTCTCTCAAATCTCGGGTAAAATAAATCGGGAATACATTATTGTTTTATTTATTATATTGGGCTTTAATAATAATAATAATAATAATAATAATAATAATAATAAACTAATACACTCTCAGGAGCTTGTGTCTGAGTCTGTCTGTGGCTGCTTCCGTCTCTCTCACAGCTCAAACAATCCTGTGCGTAAAGTCAGGCGCGAGCCGACTCGAACGAGCCTCCCCACAGCAAAGACTCGCGCTGTGACCCCTCTCCCTGCAGCTCCCACTCAATCCCTCTCATATGGAGCTCGTCGCTGCTTTCGCCGTTGGCTTCTCCAGTCTCACTCTCAGATCAAGATCCCTCCGCGTACAATCTGAACCTGATCTGAACACCCCAAAGATAAAGTGGAACTCGGTCAGTGTGTCGTGTTTGAGCTGTTAAAGTTCACAGACTCGAGTGATTTTGTCTCATAACCAGAAATCCTCCCGTTGAGCCTCACGAAGACCTTTTTCAAAATGTGCTGAAGTCTCCTCTCTTCTTTCAGGCTGTTTCCGTGTTTGGCTCTAACGTAACATCACACGCTCTCCTGCTCGGCTCTCGCTGCGTTAACTCCCTCCTCACTGGCTGCTTCCAACTTCGCGGAGCCGGCTGTCAGGCACGAGCTCTCTCTCTCACAGTCTCCCTCTCTCTCTGTGTGTGTCTGACCAGCCAATGAGAACATGCTGAGCTGTGTCTTCACGGTTCCGGCTGTAGCGAGAATCCCTCTTTCTCACAGCTGGGAAAAGAGGCCGAGTCTGAAAGAGCAGACTCCTCCCAAACGAGATTCTGCCTCTCACTGCTCACTGAGAGAGAGGGCTCGTGGCCAACAGCCGGCCCCGTGAACACGGAAGCGGCCAACGAGGAGGAGGGGGGAGTAACTATCCCTCCGAGAGCCGAGCAGGAGAGCCAGAGAGAAACAGTCTGAAAGAAGAAAGGAGACTTCAGTACAGTTTGAAAAAGGAAAGCAGTCTTCGTGAGGCTCAACGGGAGGATTTATGAGAGAGAAATATGATGGTGATCTTTCGAGAGAAAAGCACATGAGGCAGAGGGAGAAGAGTTCCTCAAGTATCAGGACTTTACAGAAATCATATGGCAGTTTAAACATGCATTTTGTACAACACATGTATGGACATTTCACCTTTCTAAATTATTGTTTTATTTATTATATTGGGCTTAAATTATAATAAACTATTTAACTCTTGCAGGAGAGGTGCGCGAGTACTCTCCCACACAGCTGGAAACATGCTGCACCTGCGAGCTTTCCGCACGAGAGAGGGATCGCAGCGGGTTGGGAGGAATCTGATCTTTCAGGATCAGCCTTTTCCCCCGAGCTGTGAGAGAGAGGTACCGGGCCCGACATCCGGCATGGGGAATACACGGCTCAACAACCGCGAGCTTCCATCGAGAAGTCAAGCCCGAGCCCTCTCTCTCAAATCTCGGGTAAAATAAATCGGGAATAAATTATTGTTTTATTTATTATATTGGGCTTAAATAATAATAATAATAATAAACTAATACACTCTCAGGAGCTCGTGTCTGAGTCTGTCTGTGGCTGCTTCCGCCTCTCTCACAGCTCAAACAATCCTTTACTTAAAGTCAGGCGCGAGCCAACTCGAACGAGCCTCCCCACAGCAGCGGCTCGCGCTGTGACTTCTCTCCCTTTAGCTCCCACTCAATCCCTCTCATATTTAGCTCGTCGCTGCTTTCGCCGTTGGCTTCTCCAGTCTCACTCTCAGATCAAGATCCCTCCGCGTAAAATCTGAACACACCAAAGATAAAGTTGAACTCGGTCAGTGTGTCGTGTTTGAGCTGTTAAGTTCACGGACTCGAGTGATTCTGTCTCATAACCAGAAATCCTCCCGTTGAGTGTGAAAAACTGACGAAACAAACTGCGAGCTCTCAAACGAGAGGGAGAGATATCACAGCGCGAGCCGCTGCTGTGGGGAGGGTGACGTCGTTCGAGTCGGCGCGCGCCTGACTTTACTCACAGGATTGTTTGAGCTGAGAGAGAGACGGACGAATCCTCGAGCTCCCATACGAGAGAGGGAGATGAGGCACTCATGTTCTCATTTGCTGATCAGACACACAGAGAGAGAGAGAGGCGTACACATTATGTGTTCAGCTGTGAGAGAGAGCTCGTGCCCGACAGCTCGCCCCGTGAACACCGAAGCAGCAAACGAGGAGGAGGGAGTAACTATCCCTCCGAGAGCTGAGCAGGAGCGCGAGAGAGAAAAAGTCTGAAAGAAGAGAGGAGACTTCAGCACAGTTTGGAAAAGGAAAGCAGTCTTCGTGAGGCTCAACGGGAGGATTTATGAGAGAGAAATATGATGGTGATCTTTCCGAGAGAAAAGCACATGAGGCAGAGGGAGAAGAGTTCCTCAAGTATCAGGACTTTACAGAAATCATATGGCAGTTTAAATATGCTTTTTGTACAACACATGTATGGACATTTCACGTTTCAAAATTATTGTTTTATTTATTATATTGGGCTTAAATCATAATAAACTATAAAATTATTGCAGGAGAGGTGCGCGAGTACTCTCCCACACAGCTGGAAACATGCTGCACCCGCGAGCTTGCTGCACGAGAGAGGGATCGCAGCGAGTTGGGAGGAATCTGATCTTTCAGAATCAGCCTTTTCCCCCGAGCTGTGAGAGAGAGGTACCGGGCCCGACATCCGGCGTGGGGAATACACGGCTCAACAACCGCGAGCTGCGGTCTTGAAGTCGAGCCCGAGCCCTCTCTCAAATCTCGGTTAAAATTAATCGGGAAGTCAGACTCCTCCCACAGATGTAACCGAAATCAAAGAGTATTTAAAGAGACAGCATTTGGAGAAGCTTCAGTCTGACTTAGGCTGCACTCTGTGGACACCTGCTGTAACTGCACCTCTCTCACACAGCTCTGAACAGAGGAGGCGGATCCCTCTCTCAAAGCTCTGAAAGAATAGTATTAACGAGAGCACTTGTAATAAGCACAGGATCCAGACGAAGAAGACTGGAGATGGCAGCTCATACTTTGTGCATTTTCTTACTTATTGTCCACCTTCCTCTCGTAGGAGGCCTAGCTGTCGATACAATATCAGGAGACCCAGTTCAGTTTCCAGAGACTGAACAGTGCAGGGAGAGAGGAGCGACACTTCAGCACACTTTGACAGGTGGAAGCAGTCAGGCTGTGGCTCGTCTGGAGGATGTCTGGAAGCTGGCAGCAGGTTACAAAGACCGGATGAGTCCAAACGAGTCTGTGGTCTTAAACAGGAGCAACATCAACGACCAGGGACTGTACGGGTTAACCTGCGGCTCAGAGGAGAAACGTATCCATCTGAATGTCATCACATCCTCGGATAAATCAGTGCCTGAGGGACAGGCTGCTGGATTTACCTTCCACTACTTTACTGCAGGAGAACTCGGGAGGTACAGAGTGGAGAGAAACACACAGCTTGTGTTTGAGCTGGACCTCTCCTCCGGAAGCACCTCACAGGGCTCAGGGTTTGAGAACAGAACATCTGTAGCCCCTCACTGGAGGTCCGATGGAGACCTGACTCTGACCCTGCAGGGGGTGAAGCCCGAGGACCGAGGAGATTACTTTCTCTACGTCCTCAAGGACAGAAAGAGGGGACATCTGCAGGCTGTGAGGATGAGGGTCAGCCCTGCACTGAATACACCAGAGGAGAGGAACCCGGATCAGATCACCTGCACCCCCCAGCCACCATGCGTGAGTACAACACCACAAATATTGATTATAAAATGCAGCTTATGGAAACATCTTAGATATTATCGGACTTTAGGGTTTTGTTGAAGGTGTCATCTTTTAGTTTACGTTCCTCTTGTTCTGTTTCCCCTGGAGCAGAAGGAGACCCCGTGGATCCCCCTCAGCATCACCGCTGCTCTGGTTCTGGTTGCACTTGGTGTTGTGTGTCGGCAGAGGATCTGCAGATCACATGTCTCACCCGGTGGAGGAAGATCTCTGACAGAAGAGGAGAGTCAACCCATCACAGACCCTCGTGTTCCAGAAGAGAATGGACATGCTTCATCAGCTTAATATTCATTTATAATGTATTTTATTGTCACTGCACTTTCCCTTCGATGCAACACTTTCCCCTTTCTCTCTGGTCTTTGCTAATAAAATAATAAAATGTCATGTTGTGCGTGTTTGTGTGCTGGATTTGGACTTAAGGTGAACTGATTCTCTCCCAAACATTTAAAAAATAACCCATCATTGAAAACCTGCAACTTGAAATTACTTCACACAATATAAATATGCAGATTTAAAAAAAAGTCTGGAGGATAATATAGGGTTGGAAACGAAATGAAAACACAGCTCATCAGAACATCTGTCTTTGATACATTGTTAGATGCTGTTCCCCTCTGTGGGAAAACAAGGGATTTCTGATTCTGAACTTTTGCTTTGCTAATAACAACATTTGAAAATGTAATTTGTTACGACCCTGGGCCCTTGTGTCATGTCAGCATTCCACTATTGTTCTTCAAATCTTTATTCTTCAACTTCATCATCGTCTTATTTCAGTTCCTCCGTACGTGTTTTGGCTCTCAATAACTTCAGCCCACTTTCAGCTACAGAAACCATTCAAATGTCAACATATTCAGTCTTTTCAGCACATGATTACCAATATACTCAGGGCCGTCCCTGGCCAACTTGGGGCCCCAATCGACATTGTGAGATGAGGGATAAAAGGGGAAAAAATGCTCCATGTTTTTTAGGCTGTAAACATTAACTGTTGTGTAAGCCAACCAGACAGACAGTTTGTCACTCTTCCTCCTGTACATTAGCAGGTAAAAGGCATACATTACTTGAATGAATGGTAAATAGAGAATGCGCTGAGAGCTGCTCATAAGCCGAGGCCCCCTGCCAGTGGCGGTTCTAGACCAATTTGACTGGGGGGGCCACTGGGGGGCCACTTATTTTCTGAGGGGGGCACAATAAATGCAGGACGAAAAAGAGAACTAGACAGTATGAAGTAATTGCGCATTAGAAAACAATGCAATACAGTTATTGGTATTTGTTTCAGTACACTTATTTATTTCAGATAGATCTTATAGTTATTACTGTTAGCTTCAGCTTAAGTTATAGTGCAATGTTTGCACTAACACCATATTTATATAAAAATAAAGGCAATTAACAGTTACATTTCTACTTTACATAAGGGTGTCTGCACAATCTCACATTACAGCAACAAAATCCTGCGGTTTTTGGAAAACCGAGTACCAGAAAATATACATTAAAAAAAAAAAATTGTTAGGGGGGCCACAGGGGGGTCAGAGGTCAGTGTTAGGGGGGCACTGCCCCCCCTAGAACCGCCCCTGCCCCTGCGCAATGCAGCCTGCATGATCGGCCTGAATATACTACTAATATTCAGCTTTTTAAACTATTTTATTAACATGTAACTCAATGTGAGGAACCTTCAAATCCTCTTTTTACTACAGCAACATCATCAGTAATAACATTTGTGTAAATACTCAGTTTTGTTGACTCTTTTGTTTTAAAATGTCAAGGAGTGAGATGCTTTTTGGTTTGAATCCGGTTTTTCTCCTGTTTTTTTGTAGGAACTCGGGGAAGAAGCTTGTCTTTTTGTTTGATTTGTTTTATTTAGCATGTTGGTGTTGTTGGCTTTGTCTCACACATCCAAAGAAAAAAAGGGGATTTTCTTTGTCACTGAATGTTTCTGAAAGTGGGAGCATGTTTATGTTATGTGAGCTTATCCATGATTAAACTTCACTTTTATCTTCATTTAAGGGTGCTAAATATTTTCTCTTTTTTTTTTACCATTATCTGCTATTGTGTTTAAATTATTTCTTTACTTATTGTGTTCTTTTACTATAAATACCGTGAGCATACTTAGTTATTTAGTATTAATGCAAGTCCATTCTCCCCACTTGTACCACTGTACATTTCCCCGTTGCGGGACAAATACAATATTTCTGATTGAAAACCTTTATAGTCTATTTTAAATCCTCACGATCATCACGCCAACCTAAATCTACTGAGGTGAAACCAACACGTTTCAAACTGAAACACTTCTTTCAAATCAACAGGTAATTAACAGCAGCTCACAACAACATAGAGTCAGTAAACAATAACATAGTTCTGGCTGCATGCCAACACATTGCCTCATTATTCAGTTGTGTCATCATGCAGCCACCGCGTGCCTAAAAAAAAGGCCATGGATGGATGACGTAATCGATTTACATTGAGGTGCAAAATGGGCAGGATTGAATACCTTTATGTATGAATTTTTAGGAGAACATTTCCCATGGTCTGCACGCCAACCATTGTTATTGTTGATCTTCTACGGCTGCAAACATTTCACAGCAGCGAGCAACCAAACATTTCCAACTTTAAAAAACACACAAAAGTCAAAGTTCAACCCCGCCCACACTGATCTGATATTCCAGGCTTTTTATTGGCCAGGATTTACACCAATACAAATACATATCCTGATTGGATCTGGGCCTATCTGGGCCTTCCCTTTGCTGCGACTTCAATGGTGAGTCGGTCCTTCTTGCAGTAACAGATGCTACAACTGAATCTGTTGTGGGTAACATTTCCACATTAAACATGTCAAACAATGCCTGGACCTATAGGCCTAAAACCTGCGTTAGTGTTGGGGGCATACCAGTACATTCTTTGTACTGTTTCTGATGTTATGTAAAGCGTCTTTGAGCACCAGGAAAAGCGCTATAAAACTTAAATGTATTATTATTATTATTATGGTGGAAGGCATTAAAGTCCTGACTGCTCTTCTATAGCCATTATAGGATTTCCTTTTTTTGTTTTCTTTCTAACATTTTTTAAATGTTGGTGAACATTTTGTTGTTGTTTGTTAGATTCTGCACACATAAATATACCTGCTGTAAGTTATATGCTTGGTGGTTTGTTCAAATAATTGGTTAATAAAAATGAATAAATTCCACACATTTACTTATTATAATTGTGTTTTATAAACTTAATTTGTTCAGTATTTTCTAATCAAATTGTTGTGATTCAAATCTATTTAATTATATTAATTGTCACTTTGTTTCCACCATTTTTTGTAAGTAACTATTGGTCACAGTTTGTACAGTGCAGTAGCTGTTTTAAAATGTATTACATTGTCTTATTGTGCCCCCTGGTGCCCACATTTGAAATACTGGTGCCGGTATAGTCTTCTTATGGGAAGTGTGCTTAGAAAGTCAATAATATCAGGTATTGTGTATCAGATAATAGCAGAATTTGGACCAAGTCATTGTTTTGCGACTTTCAAGTGTTCACGCTGATCCAAGAATAACTTTAAAGTGGTGTGAAAAGAAGAAACATTTTCACATTAAATGAACACTTCATCCTCAGATTCATGGAGATTCATGGTTTCAAATACCTGAAAACATTCAAAATACAGAACTTTTATGGACATCTACCATTTGCTTACAACCCTCTACTTTATGCATCTCATTCTTTACAACACATAAACACCCCTCACCATTCTCTGGCAATGTGGTAAAGCAATCAGAAAATTAAATAGTCTGAATAGAAGATTGAGTAGTTTTGGCCAAAGTCTATTTACAGAGTTCACTTTTTTTTAGTAATGAAGGTAAAAAAATTGGCATTTAAAGGAAATGCAACTTGTTTTTAACAATGCTAAAATTACAATTCCTTCAACCCATTACAGAGGATGATAAGCAGGCAGCTAAGATGCAGGATGCTTTAATAAATACACTGTGGCTGTAAATTATGAAGCAAAGTGATGATGAAAGTAAACACATTTGAACAATTCACACGAGACATACATGTTTGCCCAGCATTTAAAAACAATAACTTCACTCACACACACACACACACACACACACACACACACACACACACACACACACACACACACACACACACACACACACACACACACACACACACACACACACACACACACACACACACACACACACACACACACACACACACACACACACACACACACACACACACACACACCACACACACACACACCACACACACACACACACACACACACACACCACACACACACACACACACACACCACACACACACACACACACACACACAGCAATATCAAGATTCTTCCACAAGGAGGTGCTCTTTATCTTTAGTTCAAGGTTTTAAATCGTTTTACTTGATGTCATCTGTAATAAAACCCTTTAAAATGTAATTGAGAGGCAATTCCTGAGTATTAAACAAGTAACCCTAACCCTTAAAATTATGAAATACACTGTGGCAGTAAAGTCTAAAGCAAACAACCGGTTAATGGAAGTACATACATTTGAACAATATGAGACATTTTCTCACAGCATTCAAAGACAGGTGGAGGTGAAAGGACATCTAAAAATAAATGTACCTCTGAATGAATGAAGCAGAATATTTTCTATTTAGCCTTTATTTATACAGGTGAACATCTCATTGAGAAACAGGGTCTCATTCTCAAGAGAGACATGTTCAGTGGTAACACTACCACACAAAGTTACAGACAGACAGGACACTAAACACAGAGGCAACAATCAAATAAAACATCGTACAAAGTAGTCATTGAAAATTCATATAGTCAGATATTGCAGGTGCTGTGCTAGTGACTTATCCGACCGGCCCACTACAGTACCGGCCTATCGGGATTCGTCCAGAACGTCCCTGATATTATAAAAAAAATGCACAATAAGTACTTTTATTTTTGAAAATGTAAATGTACTTTGACTAAAGTAAAATCCTGAATGCATCTTTTTTCCCTTTCTTGCACTTTGGTACGACTCATTTTACTTCAAGTACTTTCTCCATCACTGACCTCTTATTTTGATGTCTTCCTATACTGAAGAAAAACCACAACAAAAACCCTGCTCTGCTCTCATTCAAGCAGCGGCATGGAATCATCTTCAGGTAGATTTGCCAGAGGAGAGAAGCGGTTAACGGACAGTAATGGGTAGGACAAGGTGTTTCTACTTTGAAGTTTGGCACCGTTTGAACGTGATCCAGACTCGGACATGCTCATCGAACGCTGAACCGGCGAGGAAGAGGAGGCTGAAGGAGAACTGGGGGACACTTCGAAAGGTTGTGAATCGCCTCAAAAACGGGTCGGTGCCAGTATGCAGGGACCAGCGGTCGAG